AAAGTGTGAGGAAAGATTTTGTCAAGCACGTCTGAGTACAGTCTCAAAATGCAGAGGCTCAGGACACAGTAAGTGTTGCTCCCAGAGCCCCAGTATGAGGTGGGGGAGACATCCCCGCTGCCCTTAGGCGCTAGAGCAGGAAAGAGCCCTGTCCCTGGAAGCCCCTTCTCACGCCCTCCCTGCCAGCGAGTCACCTGCAGCCCCTGTGACCCTATAGACAGAGTAGAACTGCCTCTGCGCGTCTCCAAGACGGTGCATCTTTACAGGAGCAGAAAGCCTCGTCTTTCTCCCATTGCGCGGCTGGTGAGTTCAAACTGCTGACCTTGTGGAAGACCCCACAATGTATCACCCACTATTTCCCCCAGCTCCAATGTTAGAGGGTAGACTTCATGGGGCGCCCCTCCCACCAGGGTGAGGGCGCCAGAGACAAGGCTCTGCCCTCAAAAGCCTCAGGTTGATGGAAGAGAGATTTTCTCCTCAAGGGTGTTCCATACCCCATGGGTCAGGTCGGGTTTGGAGTGATACAGAAGCTCGGAATCAGTGGGGACTTGTGATCACCCCCAAACAAGGATAGTGAGAGCCCCCACTAGGATGACCAACAGTGGGCACTAGGAGACGTTGCAGGATTTGGGAATGAAGAGGGAGGAGGGAATGGAAAGTTTTATGATGGATAATGGGGGTCATGTTAAGGAGAACATAGAAGGAGCTGATTTTGAGGGAGATATTTGGTGGGGTTTGGGGATCAGTTCCTTTTTCTTCTTCAACACTCTTGTTTAGATAAGCCACTTCACCCGTTTAAAGCGTGTAAGTCAAAGAACTTTAGTATATGCACCGTTTTACATCCAGAGCCACAATCAATTGTAGACCATTTTCAGCATCCTTTAAAAAAGAAACCTTGTCCTCATTGGCCTCCACTCCCTTCAACCTCCCTCATCTCCCACAATGCCCCACAAGCCACTAATCTATTTTCTGTCGCTGTAGATTTGCCTATTCTGGGCATTTTATAATACTATGATAATCTTTAGTTTCTTCTCTGGCGGGCTTCTTGCATTTAGCTTGTTTTCAAGATTCACCTGTAGCATATAATATCAGCACTTCATTCCTTTTTATGACAAAATAATATTCCATTGTCTGCATATACCGTATATTGTGCCTCCACTCACCAATGGATGGATATTTGGGTTGCTTATATGCATTTTAGCTCTGATGAACAGTGCTGCTGTGACTATAGGAATCTTGTATGAATCTGTGTGAACCTGTCTTCATTTCTCGGGGGATGTCTAGAAGTGGAGCTGCTAAGAGACAGGCTAGCTATTGGAGGGACTGTCGGACTGGTTCTTAAAGTGGCTGCGCCGCTCCATTCCCACCTGCAGTGCATGAAGGCGTCACTTTTGCACATCTACATCAACACTTGCTCTGCTCCGGCTTTGGGGTAGTTCCTGTTGAGAAGGGAGGGGTGGTCAGGTTTGGTGGGAGTTCAGGCCCAGTACCTGAGACCCATAACTCTCTCAAGCCCTACACAAATATTTGGATGCTTGAAAGATGACTGTTTTCTCCCCTAAGAGAAACCAAAGGATACAATTAATCACTATTCCATTAAGCCCTACAAAGGACTCCTTTATTTCTACGACTGAGCTCCACCCCAGAGGACCTTGAGCAATGTAAAGGACGGGGGAAGAACCAGGGAAGCTGCTGAGCAGTGAGCTGAGCCGGGGCACACCAGCTGGCACCTGACTTCTGGGCACATCAGCTGGAAGCTGTGAGTGCGCACAGAACACCCCCTGCATCGTGCGCGGGCGCCTCCTGCTGTATGTGGTCCTTTGCCATAAGCACAGGATCTTGCACATAAGCCCAAAGTGTGTCCACCCCTGACCCTGCACTGCTGTGCGTGCACCACGTCGTCGCAGTCCCTGGGAATCTTGGCGCTGACCGCTTTCTGTCCATTCCCTAATAAAAGCTACATCTGACCAGCCTGGCTTGTTGTACTTCTTTTTTTCAGAATCCAGCCTGCGTCGCCCGGGACTACTCTTGCTGCTTGCTGAACCATGGGGGGGTGGGCAGCACACCCCAACTCAAAGAGCCCTACATCCAGAATAAGAAAACGTGTAAACTGTAAACCGTAGCGCCCACTGCTGTCCAGTCAATTCTGACTCGGCGACCCTGGAGGACGGAGTAGAGCTGTCCCACAGGCTTCTGAGACTAACTCTTTGTGGAAGCAGACTGCCTAATCCTCCCTCGGAGCAGCTCCCCACTAGCAGCCCAGTGGCTAATCTACTGTAGCACCAGGGCTCGTCAGTGCATTTATAAAGAAACCGTACACTGTACCCAAGTAAAAACCCTTGTTTTTACCATAGGAATTACACAGGTGGAAAATGGGTGCCTTTTAAAATGTATGTTATGGTGTGCGTTGGGGCTTCGACGAGTGAAAGGGCATTCTGCCAAACCCACAGCTCTCGGGTCCATTCCGACTCTGAGCCTAGAGAGGGCGCTGTAAGTCTTCGTGGAAGCAGACAGCTTCCTGTGGAGCCGCTGGGGGGTCTGACCTACCAGCCCTCTAGCGAACAGTCCACACGCCTGACGGGATAGTGCCCCAGACAGACATGTGTCCGTGTGTCTGGGAGGGGGTGCCAATAACCCAAGGACTTTGTCTCATCGCTGAGTCATACACCCCAAGGAGGAGCTGTCCCTCATTCCACACGGGCACATCCATAGACGCCTTCAACAAATATTTCAGATGCCTTCCTGGGCCAGGCCCTGTGCGAGGAAGGAGGCAAAGACATGGACAAGCAAAGACATTGTCCTTGCGTGCCAGCCGTCTGGCGGTGGAGCCGAATTCCAGTGCCGGGAGAGCAGTGCTCTGGAAGGGGTGAACAGGGGGCCCAGAGGACAGTGACTGACCCCAGGAATATAGGGAGCTGAAACTGTACATTCCTAGAGGGAAGCAGGAGAAGATCCTTGAGACTTACGGTTGGATTAGGCAAAGCATTCTTGCCTCTTCAACTATGTGCGAGCAACACGGATAGCATGGACGGCCAGCAAAGGAAGCCATGCCTAAGAAACCAGGGGCTCATCAGCACGGAAGGGCAGAGCTTCAGCAGACACCGTCAAGAGAGACCGCTCAGAGATGGGATAAAACATTCTGCAAGTCATCCGATTAGAGACTAGTACTAGAATATATGAAGCACTCCAACTGCTCAATCATAAAAAGACAAGCCAAATTTAAAACTGGGTAAAGGATCTGAAGATCTATACATGGGCAATAAATCAATACAGGTCCAGATGCTCAACATCATTAGCTCCCAGGGAAAGGCAAATCCAAGCCACAGTCAAATACCACGTCCCTCCCCCTAGGAGAATCAAAAGACAAGAGACAATTGCTGAGGAGGTGGACAAATTGGAACCCTCAGATGCAGCCCGTGGGGACACAGTCTGCCATCCGTCGGGTGGTTAAGACATGAAGTTGCCCTGTAACCCAACAATTCTACTCTAGGTATATACTCCCCGCCCCCCACCCCACCCCCAACCCACACATGAAGCTTGTTCAGGCATGCTCATAGCAGCATTATTTTTAAGAGCCCAAGTATAAACAACCCAAATATATGCTGATAGCTGCTACTGCTACTTGGGTGAACCTTGGAAACATGTTACATGAAAGAGCACCTATTTTATGATTCCATTGATATAAAGCGTCCAGAATAGAGAGGAAATTAGGGGTGGGCTGGGGGCTTGGAGAGGTTGGGGGGAAATGGGAAGTCATTGTTAATGGGCGTGGTGTTTGTTTGGGGGAAGAAAATGTTCTCAAGTCGATTGTGGCGATGGCTGACCAACTCTATAAATAATTAACCTCAGACCTGTGTACTTTAAATGAGCGAAGTATATGGTATGTGAATTACGCCTCAGGAAAGCTGTTTGCTTTGACAAAAACCAAAAAAGGCCACGCGTGGTATGATTTCATTTTTGTCCCTTGAGACGACACCATTCTAGCCGTACAAAGCAGATGAGTGGCCTCCGGAGTTGAGGGCAGTGGAGGGGGAGGGGAGGCAGGTGAGTCTAACTCTAACTCGCAGGGGAGAGCTTTGTGCTGAAGGGACAGTTGTGGATCTTGATTGTGGGGGTGGTTACGGGAATCATCAGGTAATGAAACAGCTCAGAGCCCTACCAGGGGGCTTCACAAAGTCAGTGGACCTATCAATCCATCTCCCTTTTGACTCATTTTAAAATGGTTTCAGTTTGAAAAAAGAAGTGAAGGGGAAGTACATATGGATTAAACCTCTGCTGAGCCTGGTTGGGCTGCAATCCTCAAAGTCCTCAGTTCAAAGCCGCCAGCGGCTCCACTGGAGAAAGACAGGCCTGTCTACTCCCATAAAGAGTTACAGTCTAGGAAACTCAGGGGCATTTCTACCCCGCCCTGGAGGGTCCCTGTGAGTTGGCATTAACTCGGTGGCAGTGAGGTTGCGAATCCCCTCTGACCATAGACCAGGGATGTGAACCGCCCTGCTATCACGTAGAGTGGATTGGAGAACAGCTTACTGCAGGTGCAGTTAGGTTAAATTTTAACACCTTATCATTTGATCCCCTTTTTAAATGTTTACTTTCTTGACTGTGATTCTTTAAAAATCATTTTATTGGGAGTTCTTACAGATATAACATTCCATAGTTCAATCACATCAAGCAGTACAGTATTGTACAATTGCTACTACAGTCAGTTTCAAAATGTTTTCTTTCTTCTTGAACTTGCTATCTGTTATGCCCTCCCCCCAGGAACCCATATTATTATTATTTTTGTGCTATATCTTACACCATCCAATATATCTATCCATTTACGTACAATTCTGTTGTTCACTCCCCTTCAGTGGGGTTATACAGTCATCGGTGCTATCAGCCCCATCCCCTATTCCTGCTCCCTCAGGGAACCATTACTCCTGTTACTGTTTCTGAAGGATTATTTAGCTTGGCTTTCATGTATTGAACGATCTTAATTACACAAATAGACGTGCAAGTCTAACATGATTAATGAGGTAAAACAAATAAAAACCATAGTAAGGGGAGGAAATATGAAAGAACTAGAGGATAGTTATGTGGTTCATCAGTACCATACCACACCCTGGATTTACGATCCCTTCCATGTGGCCCTTCTGAGAGGAACTGTCTAATTGTCCTACAGGTGAACTTGGGTCTCCTGGTCTCCCTTTTGACCCATTTATAATTTGCTCTACTTTAAAAATACTTTCCGCGTTCTTTTTGTTTGAGGTTATTATCTGTTCTACTTTGTTATTGTTGTTAGGGTTGTTTGTGGTTTATTTCTATTTTTTTTTTTGGTATGTTTTTCTGTCTATGAACAACAGAATAGGTAATTCTATAGAGACAGTAACTGGACTGATGGTTTTGGGGGGGTATGGCAGGGGAGGTTGGGGGCAATGGGGAGCTAATAACAATGAGTAGAAGAAAGAAGAAAATGTTCCAACATTGGGACTGGCTTGGGTCAGACTTGGATCCCAGCTGCCCTAGAGCTGATTTCTCGCTTTTGGTCTCTTACTGTGGTTCTCTACGCTGTCACCAGGGTGGGGAATTGCTGAAAGGCGCTCCCTGCCATCACTTTCCAAGTTCCTGTGAATCTGTGATTATCTTAAAATAAAAAAGTTATTAAAAATTACTAAAACAAACAAAAAGAACAGGGGGAAGGAGAGAGAGAGAAAAAGTGGAGTCACCAGAAGCAGGGTGACTGTTCTAGGAAGGGCTTCCAGGGAGGAGGACCCTCTGAGGCACTGCCAGCCATTCACAGGGCTTGGCTGTCGGAGGAGTGAGGGGAGGACTGTGGTCTGGAGAGGATGCAGTTGGAATGGACGGAAGGCAGTGAACTTGGGTTTGGGGTTCTGAGCAAGAGAAGGAGACCTAGAAAACTTCTGGCAGGGAAGTGACATGTCACCTTTGTGTTTTAAGAAGGCCCCTGTGACAGCAGCATGGGGAGAATGCAGGAGGAGGTGCCACCTGGTCCACAAAAGCCAGGCGGATGCTACCGGGCAGGGCAGGCAGATAGTGGAGATGGAGAACTCTGGGCCCAGTCTTTGGGAGAGAACCACTGCAGAAAGGGGGGCGGTGAGCCCCAGTCTCCAGAATGAAGGCAAGGGAGGCTGCCTCCAACAGTGTGGACAGCCTACGGGGCAGTGTGGAAGCCAGGGCCACCAACTAAGGGGACTTGGTTGGACTTGTCCTAAAAAGACGTGATTCGGGTGCTGTTGCAGGCCTGGTGGTTCTAGGACTCCTAGCTATGAACCTGTCTCCTTCCTGTGGGTTCCAGTTCATGGGCACCACTTGCTACTGACTACAACTGTTCTCTGGACGGTCCTCTTTGTGGAAGCCAATGACCAGCCCTTTACTTTCATGGGTCTGCTGGGTGGATTGGAACCAATGACCTTCAGGTTAGCAGTTAAGGACAAGCCACTGGTGCTGCATAGGGCCCTAGATTGTTATAGTGTTCTCTCTGCACGGAATTCAGTCACGGCCGGCCTGCAGCTACACCTCGATGTGCATGCGTCTTTGCAGAAGGAACGTGATCCTAACCGTGGGAGTCACAATAGCCACAACTCCCGATTTTGGAGTGCTAAGTGGCTCCCATGCATTGATGGTCTCTTGGGATCTCGCAGTAGCCCCACGCCGTTAGTATTGTTAGTGTTGTGTGCCATCAAGGTGACCCCGGCTCCCAGCAATACTAAGTGACAGAGTAGGACTGCCCCGAGAGGTGACCTAGACTGTCATCTCTATGGGAGTGTCTTGTCCGGCCTTCCCCCAGCACTCTTGTCTTGTCCGACTCTTCCCCCAGCACTGCCTTTGGGTGACCCTCCGGTTCTAGATGTGAGATGCCAGATGTGGCACTAAAGTTTTGGTGCCCTGGGCTTGGTGTCCACGAAAGCCCCCAGCTTGCTGGGTAGTCTTGTCCCAGGCTCTGAGCAAGCTCCGCATCCCATCCCCACTTGTTCCCAAATACTTCCAGGCCCAAGGCTTTCGGAGTCAGGGCAGAGAGTGGGTGGTCTGATGGGGCAGGCATCATCAGCACAGGGGCCAAGGTGGGGCTGTGGTTGAACTTCCTGCCTGGGGCAGAGACAGGGGTGCTGCTTCCTGGGAAGTGGTCCCTTCTGAGAAAATGGCCAGGGAGAGCAGGGCTTTCAGGCTGTCTGTGTGTCCTCTGTCCCTAAGGGCTACCTTCCTTCCTTCTTCTCAGGGAGCTTCTGATACCTAGGTGTTGCCTGGAGAACTATGAGCTCACCTTTGGCCTCTCTTGGGAAGACTCGGAGAGTGCCCCTGCCATCAGAGCCTGTGAACCCAGGGTAAGGGGGGCTGCCTGTCCATCCCCATCCCCATCCCCTCTCTACCTCCCGTAGCCAGAGGAGAACGGCTCTCGGTGCACTGGGGGAATACAAAGAAGAGTGGCTTCCTGGCGAGGTTCTCTCTCTCTCTCTGGAAGCTCCACGGTGCGTCTAGCCCTTCACTGGAGTGTCTAGTGCTACCTGGGCCCCCTAGGAATGGCCCACCGCCCATCGACTCCCCTCTGCTCCCGGATTGGTGCACCTATTCCTCAGCCCTGGGCTGGGCTCTCAGGGAAGGTCAACCCCGCATCTGTCTCTACAAAGTCTTGTTTGCAGCTCTGCTCCCTCTTGCTCTCGCGCACACCACTTTGCTCCATCCTTCCAAGCAAAGAGACCCAGAGCGCTCAGCTGCAAGAGGTTCAGGGCCGACGCGGGGGCTCTCCAGTGTAGGAGCCCTTCCCCCTTCCCCCTTCAAGACTGCCCGTAGCACTGCCCCAGCCCTTTCTGTTGGGAGGAGCTGGACATGCCAAAGCCTGAGGTCAGGAGGCAGGCGCCTGGCCTTCATCCTCTGTAGCCTTGGCAGGCGTTGGGGGTGGGTGGGTGGGGGATCAAGTCTGGCAACCTAGGGGGCCCGAACTTGTATTCCTTCCTTCTCCTCCCTGCCCCGGCGCCTAGGAGACGGGGGATAAAGATCTACGGAGACGGTGGGTGAGATCTACAAGACGGTGGGTGTGGGCTCTGCCCTCCTGTCTTCCTCCCTGGGCTTGGGTAGTTGGAGAGACAGCACAGGTCTGTCAGCCAGAGTCAGGGTCATCTGCAGACCCCCAACCCCTCCCCGAGGGTGGGGCTTCCCTCCCAGCAGCTTTCCGCACCCCGACAGCGATGCCACTGTCAAATGAGAGGCTCTCCATTCACTGTAGGGTTGGCCGGTGGTGGCCTAGAGACCAGGTCTGGCATTCTGGGCCCCAGCCCTCCTTTCCCCGACCTCCCCCAGGCCACCACAGCCTTTCCTCACTGAAGCCCCTGCGTGGCGCCCACCCACTCAGGCCCCCATGACAACACCAGCTTGGAGCCCCCAGGAGTTGGCCTGGTGTGGGGGACTCCCAGGGGGGCCCATTCTTGCTTCTCCACCTCCTCATATCCTGGAGGGCACCAGAGTGTGACGTGGGCATCTTTGTCTGCAGAAGATGAGGTGAACATTGTGAATGACGATCATGGCTCCGAAGAAAAGTTCTCAATCTCTTGCTACAGAAGCATGGGCGCCCCTGTGGGCAAGCAAGGTGAGAGCAGCGGCCCCAAGTGCCCAGGCTTGGCAGCACGTGGGAGTCCCAGGGGCGTACAGTGAGGCCCAAAGAGGGACAGCACCCACTCCTCACCTCCTATTTATGGCTGGTGTGGCCATGCACCATGTGCCGGGACCCCAGACTTGCTCACAGTCTGGTTGGCCATAAAGCCACCCAGGCCCACCTGTGGCTCAGCAGGTCTGGTCAAGCCCCGGGGCCAGGCTGTGGCCAGAGCCTCTGGAGTAGAGTCGGCTGGAGTTCTCATCACATCAGTTCGTGATGTCAGTACGTCCAGGGCCGGAGAGGGGATGGAGGGCCTGAGGTGGGGCCCAGCTTTTGGCCATCTGTGTCCTGTTTCCGTTGGGCTCTGGACCAGGTCCAAAGTCTACTGGAGACCTCGCCTGGCCTGGCTCACACCATCCCCTGTGGACTCTCCCATGGAGCCAGGCTTCGGCAGGCCTGGGAAGGCCAAGATGAGCTGTGGGGTGCTGGTAGGATCAGGGTCTGAGCTGGGAGTCTGGAGGTACTGGCATGAGGAGAGACTCTTCTGCTAGCTCTGATATCCCGGTGTGGCCGCTTTGATAAAAGACTGCTCAACAGAAGACCCCTAGCCCTTGGAGGGAGAGGGGGCCACTTGCCCGGTTAGTGATAGTTCTCTACCGAAGCCCGCCTCTCTTCTTGCTGGTGGGGGATTGAAGCCTAGACATGGGGAGAGCCGAGTCTCATAGACATGTAGTCACAAAGCCAGAATCTTCTACACTCCGGCTGGGAACCTTCTTAGTAGTCAACGCAGAAAAACAAGACAAAAAACAACCGAAAAGCTGTTTTCCTTGAAAAGAGCTGTCTGCCCTCCCCCCACTTCCCTCTCCTTCTCACCGGTCCAAACAAAGGGAGTTGGTCCCTGCCACTCAGTGCCTGCCTCCACCAAGGTCACAGATAAGGAAGGACCCTGGCCTTTCTGCAGAGCTCACGGTCCTGGGACTGAGTTCAGTGCCAGGCTCGAAGGGTGTCTCAGGGTCACCGTCTTGGGGGTTCTATCCGTCTCTATCAGCCGAGCGAGCCTGGTCTTCTTCCGTTACTTACGTGGACTTTGAGTTTCGTTCCACATGGTTTCCCTCACTCTGCCCAGGACTCTCTGCGTGACCCTGACCCAGAGGCTGGTAGTGAGAGCTGGCCACCGCGCGCTTCTGGTCCCAGGGGAGTGGAGATTGACGTGCCCATTGCCCTCACTCCTTTGGACGAATTGTTTCCTCCAGGCTCTGGTTTTCCTTCCTCTTTGGTGTTCCTGGCAGGGAGAGGCCAGTCGCTGCAGCTTAGAGGGCCACTCTCAAGCTCTTAAGAGCCCAGCTGATGCCCACTCGCCAGCGTAGGACGTAGAATAGCTGCCCTAGGTGCTTTTGACTACCAATCAGAGAAACCCCTTACTCACCTGTCTCGGGTACTGCAGAAGACCTATTACCCGGCATACCAAGAAGCCCTAAGGAGACCGCTCCAGGCCTGTTGGTTTAGCAGCTCAAAGACCACGTCAAGAGTTAAGTGCTTCACTGTTTTTTTTTGAAACTTCATAATACTTTTATTCACTCAATAACTTCCTCCCTTAAGAGTCTTAATTCAGCAAGTGTAGGGACCCAATAAGAAAATCCGATAGTCAGAACATGTTTAGCTTTTTGAAAGCAGCTGGCACAAACTTCTGACCATGCCTTAGTAATCTTTTCTGCGTTCTGAGTATAATGACTTTTATTGACAATACCTGCTGTTTGCTATTTGTGGCACTCAAGAGGGGGGCAGTCTGCTTTCTTCACAAACACATCTTCTCAAAACAGTGGATCAAGATACTCCAATGCCACGTAGTTTCTCTGTTTTCAACTCCAGAGCAAAAGAGACATTCCACGCAAACAAATGCAATTCCACTTTCCTCGTTTTTGCTTTTACCATCGGGGTCTTGGGCAGGCTGAATGCTCAAGTAAGGCTCTCCTTTCTCCAAGAGAGACTGTCTCTGTCGGCTCTCCTCTAGAGCGGCTTCTGCCCGGCTCTTGGCATTGATGTCCGCCAGGTACGTGGGGGAGTTACGGTAGGCCTTCATAGATGCATTGCACTCGATCTTTTCTGCCTCGTACTCGTTTAAATATTCTTGTTTTTCTTCATCAGTGAGATCTTGCCACATGCCACCAATAATCTTGCCAATCTCCCACAACCTTAGGTCAGGGTTGGAAGCCTTAACTTGGTCCCAGACCTTTCTGCTGTACCTCATGTAGGGCATCAGCGGCTTATCTGGTGCCTTGGCGGGTTTGGGAAACGTAATGCCAGAGGATGTCGTGACCTGGCTGTTGGTGCCCGGGTTCCCTCCCAGCCTGTAGTTAAGCGTTTTCACCGGCTACCGTTACTGATTGTTTTGATCAGAGAGTCTGTTAAAGAATTCTGATCAAAAGGGGGGTGGAAATGTAGAACAAAATGTAAAATCATCATGGAATCCAGACTTTTTGGAACCACGAAGCTAGACAAACCCCCAAAATAATTGCCCCACAATCAGTCGAAGCCTAAACCAAAAAGTCTCCCTGAAGCCTTCTTAAAACCTCGCTGTAGTGTAGCCGAAGTAGAAAGCAGCTGCTCTGAGACCCGTCTGTGTGTCAGCTCAACATCAGTGACTAGAGAGAGGAGACAGGAGCCTTCGAGGGTGGTGCCTTTCTGTGAAGGGGGGGGACGTCTAGGAAAGGGGGGAGACGGGGGCACAACTCAGGGAATGTCTGCACTGTCACTGAACTACACGTGGAGGGACTTGACCTGGGTGTGTTGTGACTGAGGATACTCCCATTAGTGAACAAAATCAGTTACTCATTAAAAGGAAAACACAAGTTGGGGTTTCCCCCCAACCCCCCGAGATCCCTTTGGGCTGGCAGACCCTCATGGCCTCGCAGTCATGGCTTCTTCCTATCACACATGCGAAGGATGGCGCCTGCCAGGGGAGGGCCTTTCTTGCTGCGCCAAAAGCTGCTCTCTTTCTCCAAAACATTGTATTTTGAGTTTTTGAGCCAACCAAGAGGTGGAGATAATAATATAGTGATGCCCAGCCTCCATCTAGAGTCCCCAATTGATAACATCTTGTCATCTTTATTGTCATTCTTCCTTGAGTTGTCTCCGAGGCGTAGTGCCCATAGGACAGGGTGGGGCTGCCCTCGGAGGACCCCGAGACCCCACTCTGTAGGGGAGTAGACAGCCGCCTCTTTTTCATCCATCCATCCATCCATCCATCCATGGAGTAACTGATTTTGTTCACTAATGGGAGTATCCTCAGCCACAGAGCAGCTGGTGGTTTCAAACTGGTGACCTTGCAGTTAGAAGCTCAGTGTGGGGAGGGAGGAAAAAATGAGCTGATACCAAGGGCTCAAGGAGAAAGCAAATGTTTTGAGAATGAGGATGGCAACAAATGTACAAATGTGCTTGACACCATGGATGGATGGATGGATTGTGATAAGAGTTATATGAGCCCCCAATAAAATGATTTAAAAAAAAAAAGCTCCGTGTGTAGCCCTCTCCGGCATCAGAGCATATATGTATGTATGTATGTGTGTGTATATAAGTGTTAATGTATGTTTTGAATGAACATTTAGAAATACATTGCAAATGTCAAGACATTTCACCTCTAAATGTGTGCATGTCTACAAATAAAGAACTACATGACCACACACTGCTATCATACTTTAAGTATGTGAATGATTCATAATACTATCTAATGTCCTGCACTCAAGTTCCCAGTGCCCCTCAACGAAAGCGCCTGTCTTTTTTCCAGCTTGCTGTTCTTGAGCCTTTAAACCATTTGGGAAGCTTCCGTTCCGTGGCCCTGCTCACACTCATGAGCAATGCGCACCCACGGCACTGTGTTCCTGCCTCGAGGTGGCGTCACCCTGTAGAAGTGCAAGAGGCAGCCTCACAAGGCAGCACCCATTCCCTGCTTCCCCCAGCTCCTGGGGACCACCCATAGAGAGCCCACTGTCTCTCTGCACTTGCTCATTCTCGTTCTTTCCTT